GGGGAGAAAATAATGCTTACCAGCCCAATTCATTGTAAGAACTTTGTCAAATGCCCCGAGTGCATGCAAAGAAGGGGTAAAGAAAGGAAGACATTGCCATTTATAGTACAAATCCCAGCTCTGACCTCCAAAAGTTCACCTGAAGACCTGAACTGACTCGCCATATTTGCATATTGTCCAGTCTGCCTTTAATATCACACTGATTGTCAGTCAGATCAGTAGAAAATTGGCCTTTTCTGTGAAGACTCCATATTTAATGGAACTCCCTTCTTATGGGAGATGTACTTAGATCCATCAACCAATCTTTTAATCAGGCCTTAAAAAGTTATCCCTTTTTAGTTGTTTTTAGCAAAGTTGCTAAAGGGATTTCATAAAAACAATTTCTTCATTCTTAAAGCTGCTGGTTTTAAATTCTGTTAATTTATGGTTTTAAATTCTATTCAATTCAAATTCTATTCAATTCAAATTCTATTCTATTCAAATTCAAATTATGGTTTTAAATTCTGTTAATTTATGATTGTGTTGCTAGTCAGTGAAACTCTCAGACTGCTAATTTAAATTATTGTATTTTATTAATGTGAAGTGATTCAGGTTCTAGTAAACTGTATATACATTGTAAGCCTGTAGATACAATCAAGGATCCTTTTCTGTATATGAATGAAGATACACACACACACAATACACACACGTGTGTGTGTGTGTGTTATTAGAAATGCCAGATCTGAGCTGCAAAATTCTAGATAACTACTAGATAGTATGAAAGGGTTAATATTTTCTTTAACATTTTTCTATGATTTAGTGGTCCAGATTTTTGAAGGCCAAATCTGGTAGTTCTGTGTACATATACATGCACATACATGTACAGTAAAACCTCAAATTAAAGAATGATTGGAAGGAAGAATGTCCTTTAAATCTGAATCTACATAATGGACAATATTTATGTCATTTTTGTAATTACATAATTGATACTTTAATACCATTTGCATCAATGGGATAAGTTGATGCAAATGATGTCAATTATGTCAGTTGTCCAGAGACTGCTTCAGAAAGAATGGAACTCCAGGCTTCCAGGTGAGGATCTATGGCAGACTAGATCTCCCTGAAGGAGCGGGGATGGCATTGCAGTGGAGATCGGCAGCCAGACAGTGAATTCTGGCTGGCACTGTCTTTCTGGATAAAGGAGAGATCGTGAGATCACCTGCTTGCACTTTGGACAGCTGCTCCTTGTAAGTAGACTGCAGGAACTGAGGGTTTTGCAGTTGGCTTGTAAGTTGAGCTGCTGGGAGTTGAGGGATTTCAATCAATCTCATAGCCGTGATGCAGCCTATATGGACACAAGGTTCACACAAGCCTTGCTTTCTTAAACACATTCAGATGTAATTTGTTTACAGCTAAAGAGAGATTTTCTGAGCGGCAGGATAAGAGAATTCCGCCTGGTGAGTCAACATTCTTTCTACATTAAAAAAAGGGGGGGGGTGTTAAAGATTTTTAAAAATTGGCAAAAAGCTTAACAAGAAGTTGATGTAAAATAAGTTTAAATGATGTAAGAAAGTTTAAAACAGATAGGTTTTTTTGACAGATTTTTTTGGGTGAAAGTGCTTTTGAATACATTGGAATTAAAATAGACAAATGAACCAGATCTTCGTGGGAAAGTTTTTTGTTCACTACTAAAGAGTGCAGACTATTGGTGGATTTTACAAAACAAAAGATAAAAGTAATATGAGCCAGACTATGAAGCTGACTGTAACTACTGTGATGGATGGCATGAGCGGGGAAGATTCTGGAATGGAACTCCAAGGTTGTCAGGAGGGGGGAGAGGCATTCCAGGGCAAGCGCCTCCTCAGCCCACAACAAGACTGTGAGAAAATGAAGAAGCTGAGGCTGGCTGCTCTCTAGAGTCTCACAGGTTATAGCCACTAGTTGCTTCAGCATAGGTTTAGTCTGGCAAGATTCTTCTGTTAGGTACAAGCCAATAAAGGATCTGAACTGTACTGGATGACCTCATTGTAGTTCTTGGGCTGAGCCTGACATCAATCTCACCAGACTAAACCTATGCTAACCTATGCTATGCTATGCACCAGACTAAACCTATGCTGAAGCAACTAGTGGCTATAACTTGTGAGACTCTAGGGAGGGCCTCAGCCTCTTCGCTTTCCCACGGTCTTGTTGTGGGCTGAGGAGGCGCTTGCCCTGGAATGCCTCTCCCCCCTCCTGACAACCTTGAAGTTCCATTCCAGAATCTTCCCCGCTCATGCCGTCCATCACACTATGGAGTGCAATTTGAGACAAAGTATTAAGGACACAGGAAGATAAAACAGAAAAAAAGGCGGGGACAGAGCTTGCCTTTTACTCCATCCCTTGTAACTGAAACACTTTCACTTTTGGATTACAATATTGGAACAAGACAGGGATGCCCACTATCTCCTCTCTTATTTATTTTGGTTCTTGAAATACTGCATAGAGATATGACAAGATGAGAGAATCGTGGCAGTAAAGATTAAAAAAGAAACTTATAAGTTAAGGGCTTTTGCAGGTGACTTGGTGTTGGTTTTGGAAGATCCTTTAAAGGGAATTGAAACATTAATGGGAAAACTAAAAGAATTTGGTGCACTAGCAGGTTTTAAAATCAACAATCAGAAGATGAAGATGTTAACAAAAAACATGAAAAGGGAAGATCAAACAGAATTGATGAATAAAACAAATTTTAAGATTGAGAAGAAAGTAAAATATCTGTGTATCACTATGGCAAATATGAATTGTGTGTTATTTTAAAATAACTATGTTAAGACATGGAATGAATTGAATAATTGCTAAAATGTATAAACTTCTACTGAAATTTGAAACAAAAGAAGAACAAGTGAAAGAATGTAAAATAAAGTGGGCTAAAAATTTGATTATAATACACAGATGAAACAATGGGAAAATATGTGGTTTAAAGGATTGAAATTTACACTATGTTGTAATCTTAAAGAGAATTTTTACAGAATGATGTACTGTTGGTATATGTCACAAGAGAAATTGTCTAGAATGTATAAAGGCACTTCAAATACATGTTGGAAATGTGAACAAGAAGGAACATTTTATCATGCTTGGTGGACATGTAAAAGAGCTAGAGAATTTTGGATTCAGACACAATGGGTCTCCAAAATAAAATTTTGACCATTGATCTGAAGTCTGCCCAATGGAAATCCAGAAAATCAGGGTTTTACTGTATGTACATATGTATGTAGACATCATGCCATACCATTTCAAGATGAGTACATTATGCAGAGCACAAAAAAGGAGTAAGAAATAGTAATCCAAAGAAATCAAAGGCATGAAATTAAAGAACAGAACCCTAACCTATATCTGATGAAAAGTATTTCCAAGAAGAGGAAGATTGTAGATTATCTTTGTAATTTTTAACTAGATATTTGTTATTTAATCTTATTTCTATGTATTGATTTATAATGAGCTGTTTTATGAAGATGTCAGCCTTGAAAATCATGATTAAAGTAACATTTTTGGAAGAAAAAGAAATGTTATATGATCCCTTGTTTTTATTCCGCTTTAACATGGGAAGATCTCTGAAGTAAGTCCCACTATTTTTGAACACACAACAGTTCAGTCATGCTAACACCCATATAAGTATGGACCACAGCAGACTTTTTTTTTTTTTAATCTGCCCTCAATCATGACCGATTCTGCGGTGACTGCCTGGAGGAATCCCTGCAGTTTTCATGGCAAGGTGTTTCGGAAGTGGTTTGCCATTGCCTCCTTCCTAGAGCAGAGCCCAGGTGGTGGGCGCAGGAAGGCGGGGTTTCCGTTGCTTCATGTCTTTTTCGGACGTACGTGACTTCCATGTTACTGGCAACTGGTCCCGTCTCCCGTGCAAGGTGCCGCCAGCGTTTTTCCTCCCACCGGGGTGAAAGTCCCCATTTATCTACTCGCGGATGCTTTTGAGCTCCTGGGTTGGCAGAAGCTAGGGATGAGACAGGAGCTCACTCTGCTGCACGGAGCTGGACTCGAACCGCTGAAGTGTCGACCATTTTTGGCTGGCAACTTCCAACATCATTAAGCCACTGTGCCACCACATCCCATTACAGCAGACTAGGTTAATACATCATGCTGAGACATACTGGTTTACTTGACTGTGCTTTGTGTATCTATAGCTATATATATATTGGATAAACTTAGCCAACTCTGTGCTCTTCAACCATCCATGATTAAGTAAACATGTTTATTGCTGTGATATTTGCACATACTTGTAAATACAGAAAGTTGTTGTTTATGATAGTAATGCCAGTATGAACAAGTGAGGTTACATGGACAGCAGAATAACTTGTATTACTTTAGCTTCCAGACAGTCATGTCAATACAATTGGTGAAGGTATAAACAAACTCCTGAAAATCAAGAAGAACATTTTTTAAGCAAGTCTCTTTCTTGTTGTGATGCTTGATTACAAGTACAGTACTATATTTATCTGAAAGGAAAACTAGATTCTTTCTCCCAAACATTAACCTTTCAATTGAGAAAATTATCTTTCATTTCCTGAGAATAAAATAAGGAGGAAGAACATTATTTTTTTCAATTTAATCTTTCTTTATGGAGCCAGGGGAAGTGTTCTTCAAATCTGAGATTGCATTGTTGCAGATAGATTTGGTAGATTTTAATGTAGGGAGATATACCAAAATATTACAACCCACCTGCAGTGATTTAAATTGGTGCAGTCCATTTTATAACTGAATATCTAAGCTACAGTATCTCACGCTTTAACATTAATTTAACAGATTTCCATTTCTTGAGCATACCCCTAAGTTTGATGCTAAAAATCTCTTAGAAATATGATTTAATTTTAAAAGCAACATTGTGTTTTAATGGAGTCTAGTTTACAGTTATTTAATCCTTTTAAGTTATCAAATTTCTGAGTTTTTCATTTTTATATACAGTATATTTGTCCTATTGACATTTTCAGTCATTAGCAAGGCCATATAAGCTTCTGTTTCCGTTTTCTTGCCAGTGAGATCTCTCAGAATGATGCCCTGGAAACTATAGAATCAGATGTTTTCTCCCACCTGCCCAAGCTTTATGAAATGTAAGTAATAAATGGAACTGAAAATGGAAAGTTTCATAAAACCGCGATGAACTAATTGGTAAAACAACATAAATGTTATTTTTATTTATCAAAAGAAAAAGAGGCAAAAAGTCTACCTCCGTCCCACCATTGATCACTACCATGTCCCCTTTTCCCTTGGAGCCTGAAAAAATGTACTAATATTTTATAAAAAATAGAAAGTAGCCCTTGGTTACCATTTCTTCAGTTCTGGGCTAAGTAAAATCACTATAGGCATCGTCCACCAAACATTCCTGTGAAGGGCATTACAAATATGTGGTACCATCACTGAAAAGGCTGCCTCTTTTTTACCGCTTGGCTGATATTGAAAGTGGTGGCACTTGGGGGAAACTTCAAATAATAAACTAGGGAAATAAACAGCTTCAAAAGGGAAATATTGGAGCCCTAATTTACTCAGTAAGTGGTAAGAAATGATGCACTTGGAATAAGGGAAGGAATTGCCAGATGGATCATAATCTTTGAACAGATACGTCTTCAAGTTAAGCTCTGACCAAAATCAATTTCATAAAGTCAGCTAAGGTAATAGCACTCAAGAGATAAGTTAGTCCTTTGACAAGAACAGATCAATCGACAGATACTGTGGTAGTAAGCCTTTGTCTCTAACAGTTGATTTACAACAAGCTTGTATGTTGGCTATAGTTATCACATTGCAAATGTAGATGTATACACTGACTATAATGGCACTAGAAAAATATTTTATGTCGGGCAGTGGTCCTCAGGAGAGGGTGGGCACTTCACTAGTGTGCCTTTCTGCAAACATATGACTTGATATCAAGATTACAGAGACAGAGTTGAAATTTATATTTGACAGGCTACATACAGCTTGGTAGATAATATTGCTTACCCCACTCTCTTTACTATTACAGAGCAAGACTTGAGTCTTCACAATGCGCATTCTTACAGACATTTCTCTTTTTTCCCCCACAGAAGAATTGAGAAAGCAAGCAATCTTATGTATATTGATAGACATGCGTTCCAGAATCTTCCCAGTCTCAGATATTTGTAAGTCTGCGATTTATTTAACTGTTTCAAAGCAAAGGTTACTCTCTTTTTATTTTGTTTCGTCTACACAATAACCATCCAGTTAATTTCTTGCACGTATTTCTTAACAACTGCCCCTGTTGTGAAGACTGTTCATATTCCCAGTTCAAAAATGAAAGTTGTTGACGGCAACATTATTTTCTTTCAGATTCTGCAGCTTATGCATTCATTGCCATATTTTTTTAGTGTTTGTGGAATGTAGTTGTGGGGGAAAAAATGGAATTGTTTCTTGGTAGTGTGGCAGCTTCTTCCCTTTCTCCTTCCCATACATGAAACTTGTAGTGAGCTTCAAAAGCTTTACTCTGGGAAGAAGTAAACTGCATGATTCTAAGAACTGCAAGTTGCTATCAGAAATATATGTCTAATTCTGTTATTTTTAAGGAGCAGAATGCAATTCTGCACTTCCCTTTACTGCAACAATTATCCACTATTGAAAAAACGTTCTGGTTTTAAGAGATTTTTTTTTTAATGCACTTCATTGAGTTAATGGAAGCCATAGTGCTCTTCTGTCTTGGGTGGATATTTGCAGTGAAGGGATAGTCAACAGGAAAAAGTCTACTAGCCCTCCCCTTCGCTATCTTCTTCCCATGTTCCACTCAATGATTCCAGTCCAGATGTTGGAATGGGAATTAGTGCTTTCCATGTGCATCAAAGATTCATTCATGCAGCACTGTCTACAACAGATGTATTCTAGAAAATCTTTTTTCCCAAGTAGCTCATATATTCTTTGTATATTATATTAAGCTTGGAAACTGGTAAACGTTCATTATTGAAAACAAAGGCAAACAAACTTCAAGACCTTATGGTTGAAGAAAGTTTGAGAATATAATGGCTTTTTATTGTTGTTGTTGCACTTTTCACGACCAAAGGCCTTTTTCTTCTTTTCTTTTCTTTTTTACTCCTTGCCTTAATTTGTGATGGAGATACAGGAAGTCAGGCTCAGTTTGGTTTGGGGAAATTGTGACACAGTCAATACCAAGCAGCCATTCCTTATTTGAACTCCTAAAAGCTGTGGCCTATACCTGATGCCAATTCTGCAATCTGTATTGGATTATTATTATTATTACTATTATTAGCAAGGTAATCTATTTATAAATGCCACGCCAGACCAGTTCTTTCCCAGTTTTATTTCACACTGATCAGTTGATGGAATATAATGGAAAGGCAAGGGAATGACAACATTTCATAACAGCATTGCACACTCCACTGAGAAATCTTGAGTGGCTTTTTAAAAACTTCATGAATAAAGAAAAGGGACAGAGCTGCAGAAATAAGTGTAAATTTAATTTTCCATTTCTTTCAAGGCACCACATTATTTATTATGCACCATACCATAGCTTCAGACCTTTCATGTTAGTAGGAGAGGTGCCAAAAAAGGGATTATCTGCTGATTGCTTCTTGAAGAGTCAGACAATAGCCTCTTCCTATAGTTTGCAGGAGCTGCAAATCAAACCAATATTTTTCATATTATCTATTTATACTTTAAACCAACGTTTTTCAAACTTGACAACTTTAAGATGTGTGGACTTCAACTCCCAGAATCCTCCAGCATGTTTGCTGGGAAATTCTGGGAGTTGAGGTCCACACATCTTAAATTTGCCAAGTTTGAAAAACACTGCTGTAAAACATTGTCCAGTTGCAGCAATTCTTTTTGGGTCTTTCTAGCAATCCTAACCTCTTGCTGGTTGCAATATTCCAGTTCTAATTTGCCAGGTTTTAACTTTCTTTATTCAGTTAATGTTAGTTAATCTAACTTCTCTAATTTATAGAAGTTCCAGGGCAATGGAAAAGGTGAATATCCACATCCAGTTCTGCTTCACTTTCTTATAAAGTTCAGAGAGATCAGCCATTCCTGGAACTCTACCTATTTTCAGGGTTTTGAGCATGTCCTTATCATGTGGTTTTTACAAACTGTGAGATTGTGATCGTGGTTATGTTTTTATTTATTTTATTTACAAATTTATATGCCCATTCCTCATAAAAAATTATATAGGCAATTCACAAATAAAAGGTACAAATCCATGAAATATAAAAACAAAACATCCACATCAAATTATGAGCAGTTTAAAAAAGAGAACAGCAATATAAATCAGCAACAGCAAACACAAATGCAAAGAATTTGAAAAACACTAAAACTAAAGTATCTGGAAATTAAAAAAGGCTTCACTGGGACTGAAAAGATCCCCACATTAGCACTAGGAAGTCCTTTCTGGAGCAGGCACCGCAGCTGGAATGCCATCATGGAAAGGGATTCTACCTTACCTCTTTTGGCAGTAACCAGTCAGGTGTATCTGGATGGAAAGAGTCCTTTAATTACCATGCTCTGAAGTCATGTGAAATTTTTAATAACAACTCATTCAGAGTGGTCTTTTGGAAATCCGTCTTGATACAATCCAAAAGTAGACATGGTACAACTGTAAAGTATGCATGTATGTATGCATGCATGTATTTTTCCATTTTATGTATCCAATCATCTCAATATAAGACTCTGGGCAGCTCACAAACAATAAAAAAAAGTATAAAAACACCAAAACAATACAACAATTTAAAACAATATATAAAACCATATAAAAACTATATAAAATTCATAGCCAAAGTAGTCAGCATCCATCAGCAACAATCAATACAGACACCACACACGCTCAACCACACTTCCAGGTCCCCACACCTGTTGGCAAAATCATGTTTTCATGGCCCTACAAAAAGCCAGGAAGGTTGGACCCAATCTGACCTCCGGGGGATGATGCTGTACAGGGCAGGAGCCATGACAGAAAAGGCTGTCTTCCTGGGCCTCACCAGACAACACTTCCTGGCTGATGGGACCCAGAGCATACTCTTCCTACTGGACCCAATGGGATGGGAAGGTATGATTGGAGAAGGTAGTCGCTCAAATAACTCGGTCTCATGCCATAAAGGGCACCTTGAATTGAACCCAGGAGGAAATTGGCAGTCAATGCAGCTTGCAGAGATTGGAAGCACACTTCCAGAAGTGTAATATGCACCAATCAAGGGGTGCACATAACTGCTGTATTTTGCACCAGCTGAAACTTTTGAAGCTTCACGGGCAACCCCATGTAGAGCGCACTGCAGGAATCCATATGAGAGGTGACCAAGGCATGAGTGACCATCGGTCCAGGAATGGGCACAACTGACGCATAACACGTAATTGTGCAAAGGCCCTCCTGGCTATGGCTGCCACCTGTTCTTCAAACGAGCCATGAGTCCAAAAGGACCTCCAGAGTTTGTAATCACAGAACTTTTAACTTCTCTGGAACAATGTAGGATTGGTTCACATGAGATCAGAAAAACATTTTGGGGGTGGGACACCTTGGAATGAATAGATCTCATCAAAACTATCCATGCAACAAACCCGAATTCTGCCAAACTCTGTAAGAAACTTTTTCTTAACAAAACATTTCAGTATGTTAAACATTACTAGAGGATGATAGTTTCTTGTGCAGCTATTTCATCTCCATATAGCCGCACAGAGATTCTTATTTTAGCTCTTCTAAGTACAGGGAAATGTAGGCAAGCACATTAATAAAACAGGCCTTGTATTCTCAGTGGTGATCACTCTGCACTAACAATCTCTGGGCCTTACAGTTATTTTAAGTGACCTATCAAGGATAGTATTAGCAGATTGTGGGCAAATGCCGATTACTGTGCTGACTTCAACAACACCTAGGCACTTCTTTATATCTGAGCAATCTTCACTGAAAAATCATGTATTTAGCTTAAATAAGGCAACATGAAAATATTGCCCATTGCAATGGTTCCTATCACACAGTTATTAGGTGCTGCCACCCACAAGTAAATACACATTCAGAGAAGCAGTCTAGAGATGCAGGAGTCGTAATTGCCCTAACTGCATCTTCCTACTGTTTGTGATGCAGTTTGAACCACAGTGATGAGGCCTGGGTCCTGGAGCATGTTGTCAATGCAGGCTCCCTGATAGCACATGACAGTAGAGCAGTGTGCTTCCAATCCTACGCGTAGTAATATTCTAACTTCTCAGTACTGATAAATCACACCCAGACTCTATATACCGAGTCATGTATGCCATGTATACACATACGCAGTTAGGAAACTAGGTTTTCCCTGCCAGATGGTATGATTTCCAAGCAAATAATACTATTGACATCTCTCATTTGGAAAAGAAACCCTGCACTTTTATATACACCTCTGAACTACTGCAATAACTTCTGAATAAACATAAATAGAATTTAGCTTCGTGTCAGACTTTATTTCTATTAATATCTGTTTCAACTGGGAAAGGGAAATTGCAATTACTTGGTGTTCCTCCTGCACATGTTAATTTTTAAATTCTCTACTTAACTTTAAAAACTTAATCAGGCATCCATGTAGATTAATAAAGTATTTCAAACTAAAATGCTGGCCAATAGCTCCTTTATGCATCCGTGGTTGAGTTAGAAAAGAGAACGAACGTGATTAGAGCCCGATTAAATTTGTTAAGGGCTCTCTCATTCATTCTCTCTCTCACCCCCTACCCTTTTTTTTTTTAAGGAAAGTGTGCCCTTGACTTGCTTCCAAAGATTTTTCAAACAGAGAATGAAATTGTTAATCGCTTCTCTCGAGCGCAGGCCAAATGGACAATCTGTTTCCAAATGGTAACTTGTTGCCCTTTTCAACAGATATAAGCTTCATTAAAAGGAAAGAGTAAGGAGAAGCATTGTCTATGTGATAATGCCTTTGCTTTTTAAATCACACCATTGGGTTCTTTTGTTTCCAGAGTTGTTTTTCAATTGTAACCTGGATTCTAGAATGCTGTATCATATCAAGGGATGGGAAAGAAATCCATCATAAATTCCTTTTTCAGGTGTAATGGCATGAGACAACAACATGAAATCCATCAGAACAGATGAGAATACAATTTGCTGAGTTTGCTAGCTTAGATCTGAATGATTCTTCCACTGGAATGAACATTTGGGAAAGCTGCATGA